AGCCAAGTCGCCGCCGCGGCCTTTGCCTTGTCCCTTCTCCCATGTGTCCAGCCCCGACAGCCACCGTCTCCTGAGCAACCCCCGGCTCCTGTTATCTGACTCTTCTCCAAAAATGGAGAGAGCAGCAGCGAAGATGGGCCGCAAGGCGCAAAAAACCTCAAAAATGAGTTTTTTTGTTTCCCCGCCTCGATAACCTCAGTACTTTTGAATCCCCTGCCACACGTGCTGACACTGGAGTCCTCGAGTCCTTCGCCCCCGCTGCCGCTCCTGTAGGAATGACACAGGTCTGCCCGCTGGACCCGCCCTGCTCCCACCCCACCCCGTCCACTAGCCCACCTGTGGCTTATTCGAATTTAAATAATTAAAATTGAAAGTACAATTAAAAAGTTCAGCTCCCTATCCACTCCACTAGCCAACGTTCAAGTGCCGCAGCGACCGCTCGTGCCAGTGGCTGGCTGTGCCCTCGTGGACAGCAGCGTTTCACGGACACCGCCAGCGGGCCGGCAAGTCTCTGGCCGCAGCACCGCTCTGAAGGCCCCGCAGACCCTCTGCCCAAGGCAGCGCCCGCCCGCCCCTCCAACCACGCGCCGGCCCTGAGCGGCAGGCTCCTGAGCCACCAGGCACAGTGACCCCAGGTTCCGCCACCCCCCTCCTCTGTCCACAGGGCTGTTTGCCAGGAAATTTCTATTCGAGCTTTTTTGGTAAAGTGAGGCGGCCAGAAAGGAATATATTCAGCACTTCCTTTCTGACCTTAATAGTGGAAATGTTGTTTATTTCAAATGAAGTATAATTACAAGTCCTCTGCTTAGAGTATGTTCCTCCTTTGTGGAGAGCAGACACTCTCCTTTCTGCTCATTATCCCTCCCAGAGCACTTGCTGCTTTGAAAGTGCACTCAGGGGTCCCTGCAGGACGAGCCGCTCCTTCACTCGGTGCAGCAGAGCAACTTGGGACATGACACCCCAACCCGCTCAGCAGCGCGGGCTCTGTATCCGGAGGCGGGTGTGCTGGGAGGCTGCCGTTCTGCAGGGGAAGCTGCGCCCAGGAGCGGTCACCCTTGCCTCCCGGCTTCCCCAAGGTTGGCACCTGCTCCTCTCCAGCTGGCCACCACCTCTGCTGCCTCGACTTAGCATCCCCTCTCTCTCTGAGCCTCGGCATTCCTGCGGAATCAGGGTACTGTTTGATGTTGCAATTTCTGTTGTTTTTTTAGTGGTTCCGAATGGCTAGAAAGATGTGTTCAATATTAGTTAGCAAATTGTTTATCTCAGTAGGTAACAGAAAATCTTTCCTTTCTCAGATGCTTGGCTCGTGATTTCTTGGATGATATAGTCTTTTTGCTCGTAGGAAGAGTTGGCGTTGGCTCTACCTCTGAGAACATCACACAGAAAGTAGTTTGGGTGGAAGAACCAGACAAAAGGTCATTTCTGCTTGACCTCTTAAATGCAACAGGTAAAATTATGAATAATGTTAGCATTGCTCTGGTAATAAGAATCCATTTGGGCCAGGCACAGCCCAGCTATTTAGGAGGCAGGAGGCTCGCTTGAGCTGGGAGTTTGAGGCTACACTGTGCCATCGTGATTGCGAATAGCCACTCTTAGACCTATCTGTTAGAAGAACTCCATTTGGGTCACCTTTATTACTTTTTTTCCACATTTGAAACATTGTTATTAAAAGTCTATTTTTTAAAATGTATATTTCTATTACCTCAAACCTTTATCGTTTTTGTGTTAACATTCAAAATATTCTCCTTGATATTTGAAAAAAAATAATAAATTACTCTTTATAGTCCCCCTACAGTGTTATAGAACACTAGAACTTTTTGTATCTAAAACAGTCTATTTTAATTGCTTCTATTTTAATGTTTATGGAGTACTAAGAGAACTAAGCCATATTATTGACAAAAATTGTAATTTTTCAAATTCAGGCAAGGATTCACTGACCTTAGTGTTTGTGGAGACCAAAAAAGGTGCAGATTCTCTGGAGGATTTCTTATACCATGAAGGATATGCTTGTACTAGTATCCATGGAGACCGGTCTCAGAGAGACAGGGAAGAGGCTCTTCACCAGTTCCGCTCAGGAAAAAGCCCAATTCTAGTGGCTACAGCAGTA